GGAAAGAGTAATGTCCCACAGTAAGGTTGGCATTCCCTTCACCTGGCCTGTAGGCGACTCGAACCCTGGACCCCATGCATGTGAAGCCGTAGCTCTATCGACTGGGCTATGAGCAGTTTATAAGGTTGGAATACCTACGGTACAATAAAAGCGTACCAACTGCACGCTTGTGGCATGATGATGATACTGTGAGCTGCCGTACAACCACCGACCAACATTTGCAGTAGTTGCAGTAGTAATCAATTAGAAATGGTTGATATAGGTTCAGTATTCTTCCTGTTACATTATAAATGTTCTTGTAATGCTATAAAACTTGTGTATGGAGGGAAAGTGGAGCGTAGGGAGAGAGCCTTACTCTATTCTGGCCTCGACCTCATCCCTTGTGATAAGTGTGGTGGGGGGGGGGGAGGGGTTCAGTGACTGGTTATAGTCATTATATTATAGTCATTATCAACATTAAACCCTATCTATACGAACCCAAAAGGTCTTTAGTTACCTGCTCGCCCTGGGCGTTCTCTACCCTCTCAACACACACCTACCTTCCTTCCCTCCCTCCCTACAAACACAACCCCTACACCTGCCCCCTTACTCTCTCCCTCTGTCCACCCCACTCTTTCTCCCTCTCTCTCTTCCTTCACCCCGCCTCCTCACTACCTATCCCACCATCCACTCCACCTGTCCCTTCCTCTCCATCTATCCCATCACTTCCCCTCTTCCTCTCTAACGCTCCCTCTCCCCATCACTCCCCCCCCCCCACAAACCACGCTGACAGCCAGGAACGAGCGCAGAATGACAATTTTACCCCTCGCCAGACCCACGCACGGGATATGAAAACGCTGATTGGCTCGTAATGAGATGAAGGAGGGATTTGATTGGTGGGTAATGACGTATTGAAAGCGTCTGATTGGCGGGTAATTGATTTTGGTGACGTGTGATTGGTCGGTAATTGAGTTTAGCAGAGGTGCATTATGGGATGATACAGGCAGAGGTGAGGCCAGGGGGGGGGTAGGGGGGGCTGGTTGTTGAGGCTAAGGGGGGGGGTTGGACAGGGGGGGTTATTTTTTTTTGTGACTGCAAAATGGCGGAAAAGGGCGAGCAAGACTCGCTGACGGCGACCTATTCGTAGTATGAGACGTCGTTACGGAATGGGGTGGGTGATGGGGGGGGGCTGGGGAGGGGGAGAATGAGAGAAGTGAAGGGAGGAGAGAAGAGGGGAAAAGGGAAGGGGGGGAAATTGAAGGAGGCATTTCCCAACATCTGGGAAGAGTGGCGTTGTGAAGGTAAGTGTTTGTGGGGAGATGTTTAAAGTAGAGAAAGAGAGGAGATACCAGTGTAGGGCAGGATAGGGATAGATGAAAATCTCATTGATGAGCCATCAGAGGTACATTCATTACAGCTTGAAACTCTGATGTAGAATTGTACTAAAGGGAGAGGGAGCCGGTCGGCCGAGCGGACAGCACGCTGGACTTGTGATCCTGTGGTCCTGGGTACGATCCCAGGCGCCGGCGAGAAACAATGGGCAGAGTTTTTGTCACCCTATGCCCCTGTTACCTAGCAGTAAAATAGGTACCTGGGTGTTAGTCAGCTGTCACGGGCTGCTTCCTGGGGGGTGGAGGCCTGGTCGAGGACCGGGCCGCGGGGACACTAAAGCCCCGAAATCATCTCAAGATAACCACCTCCCATATTCTCTCATTCTAAACGTTCCCTCTCTCCTGACCTCTCTTCCTCTCTCCTCCCTTCCACCTCTCTTCCCCTCTTACTCTATGGGCTTTCTTCCTCTCTGAAATTACTGTTTCGTGACAAGATAACAGCGCGATAAGAAATTCGATAAAGAATGCCAATAACAATAGCCCGGATAACTAAAGCCCAAGATGAAGTAAAGTGTGTGGACAAAGACAGGGACACACACTCGAACACTATATCTTGGATTGTAGTAAAATTGAGCCATTTAGAGATAAATCTAAGCTTACTCTGTATGATATGGCAACCTATCTTATTACCATGGATAAATTACCTGAAATCCTTGCACTGTATCCATATTTCGCTTCCAGTAGATAAACGACATATGAGATTAAGAAACAAGTAGTGTATTGTGAAGACTAATAATAAACAGAAGCTCCCCTGTGACTCTGTAATATCCCCATTGGTCAAACTATTATCTATTAGCTATAAGACCTACCATTAATGTATAATGACTGTAAATATATAGCTCTTGTAATAGCACTTTCTCTGTAACTAGCTGACATTGTAACTATAAGGTGTGAAGGATAGATGAAATTGTTTATGTAATAATCTAAGATGAGGTCTGATAAAGACCTTTTGTGCCCTCTGTAATGCTTTTGCGCTACCGCTCACAGGATGAGTATAGGGTGCACAATAAACTAGCCGACGGCAACAATCAATCAAAACCTATAACAAGATGACATAACAAAGAGCGGCCATAACAAGCGCCGCGATAACAAGCGCCGCGATAACAAGCGCCGCGATAACAAGCGCCGCG